ACAGTGTACCCTTTCATCTTATCTGATATGTCAGATTAAGGACCTGCCCGAAATGCTATGTGTGTTTGTGGCTTTACATGAATTTAGGAATACCAATCTTATGTATCCTCGCCAACCCATTTTATCTTCTTGTAAATAAATTATTATTATTATTCTAACAGATTTTTGCCGGGTGATGATGGGCTTGAGGTAATTTGCAGTGGTTGAACCCCCTGCACAGATACTGTATGTAAGATAGGGATGTCTGTAGACGTGGACAGGCATGGTTGACCGTCGCCCACTGTATGGGTATGGGACATGGGTGACTGCCTTGACCTTCTTGAGATGATTTCGGGGCTTCAGTGTCCCCGCAGCCTGGTCCTCAACCAGGCCTCTACCCCAGGAAGCAGCCCGTAGCAGCTATCTAACTCCCAGGTACCTATTTACTGCTAGGTAACAGGGGCATCAGGGTGAAATAAACTTTTGCCCATTTGTCTCTGCCTCCACCAGGGATCGAACCCAGAACCTCAAGACTACAAATCCGAAGTGATGTCCACCCAAATGATAGGCGCCCTTGGCTATAGGAGTTCCTTAATCCAAACAGGTCTCTTCCCTACAATGGTATACAAGCCAAGGAGAGGAGAGGAGAGCAGAGTGGGAAAGATTCAATTTTTTTCTTTATTATGCACCTCATACCCATCCCGTGGACCATGGTGGAAAGAGTTACAGAGGCACATAATGGGTTCAGGTGATTTTAGAAAGTATACTGACCATTTTTCATACTTTTTTGGCTGTGTTGTATGTGGGTGCTTGTGGGGAACTGACCTGTGAAACTTATATTTATTTAATTTATATGAATTTATATAGAACTTATATTTATGTTAATTTATATTTTTCGATAGCAAATTGTATGATAAAGTGGACTGTATTTCTAAAATGTCTCACAAATCACTTTCCTTACACATTATGGGGGGGGGGGTTATGGTCTAGTACGCACAGTGTTTCGGGCAGGTCCTTAATCTAACAGATAATTTTAAGTAGGTAAAGTCTAGCAGAATTAATAAATATATATGCCAGCTATATCAGAGGAAATATTGGTAACTTAAATAAAGAGATTAGAATAATGCTCACCATGGGTTGGTCGCTGCCTCATGTTCTAACCGGAAAATAATCCTATCTATCTAACATTACTGTCCTGATGTCAAAAAGTGGTAGAAAGGTCACATTTACTCTATTTTGGTACTATAAATTAAGTTGATTCAAGTTAAATGTTTTTATGAAGACTACAGTCCAAAGACTTCTGTATTAAGAATGTTCCCAACAGAATTAGCTGGTGAATTAATAGCGACATGTGGCAATAATATCCCATTTTCTATTGACGGAAATTTCCACTGTTCTACATTTTCTGTATGAATAGTCACTATTTCTAGGGTTAATTTGTTATTTACACAACAACAGCAATATTATCTGCATATTGTATTTAGTATTAGTAAATGGTGTTGGGTTTTCTGACAGTGCTGAAGTTGTCTATGATTAGCCCAAGGAACTTTCCCCCTTTTTTATTGCTAATGTTAACATTGTCTATTTGAAGTTAAGTTTGATTTGATAATTTACTACCAAATCAAATTAAATAGGTCTTTTTTATGTTTAGTGTAAGTTTGTTGGTTGACATCCATAAGTGGACCTTTTTTAATTCATTATTTACAATATTATTTAGTGTGTGGGTTGGGGTCAGAATAGGTAATAATTCACTGTGTCTGGGGACAGGAAGCCAGAGTGTATTCAAACACGTTAGGCTTTTATCGAGCCCCCCTCTCCCCCCCCGCACCCCCCCCACCAGGGTCGAATTACTGACCCCGCCCAGGATGCAACCCCACAACCAACTGACTAACTCCTGAGTACGTACTTACTGCTAGGTGAACAGACGCATTAGGTGGGAAGGAAATGTGCTCAACCATTTCTGTCCTGCCCGGGATTCGAACCCAGAAATCTCGATAGTGCGTCGAGAACGAACCCGACTGTACTACCAGGACTACGGTGGTGAAGGTAGTATCGTCAACAAATAGTAAAGGTTTAAGAATGTTAGAAACATTTGGCAAATCATTGATGTATAAGAAACAGGAGAGGTCCCAAGATGCTGCCCTGTGGCACCTCTACTGTTAATGGTAGAGTGAGGGAGGGTATGTTATTGATGACTACATATTGGTGTCTGTCACTGAGATAGGAACGAATATAGTCCAAAGCAAGGCCTCAGATACCATAGTGGTGAAGTTTAAGTAAGAGGTAGTTAAGGTTTATAGTATCAAAGGCCTTTCTAAGGTCAATGAAGAGCCCAATTGGGAACTCATTTTTGTCAAGGATTGTGTAGATTATATCAAGCAGGCTAATAATAGCATCATTGATACTCTTTTTGGGAACATTTAGTTTAGTTCATTTATTATGCACCCCATACCCATCTTGTGGGCGGTAGTGGAAAGGGTTACAGAGGCACATAATGGGCTCAGGGACTGAACCCCACAATTCATTTAGCTAAGCAAGTTACAATCTTGATGAGCTAGTTACAAAATTCAATATAAGTCGTCACATCAACAATGGGTTCGAGATCGACCTCAAGTACAGGTTCTAAATTAAGCAATGACATATGTGGAGAGCTAGTGTCAAAATTGATATGTTTGTCCTGCACACCGCCCCCCATCCAGTGGGCAGCGGTGGATAGGTTACAATCACTCAGTTACTACCTACAGTTAGCAAACTGGGGATATTTGGCTAAAATTTCTGGTAGCAGATCATTTTGAATGAAATATTGACACATCGCTGGAACATTGGTTATAGAATTGTCTCTAAATTCACGTATCTTTTCGCACTCCATCACATAGTGACGGAGGGTGTGCGAATAATTTTGTTGACACAGTTTACATTTGGTCAGGTCTACATCAGCAGATAATGAGAATTTTTTTTTGACGGAAGCCAAACTGGCAGTGACTTAATATGTTGAATTTAACGAAGTAGGAAGAGAGCTGTTTATAAATAATTTTTCAAATGTTTTTGAAAGTATAGGTAGATTTGATATTGGTCTGTAATTGTTTATGTCAGCTGTCTCACCTCCTTTATGAACTGGTGTTACTCTTGCCTTTTTTAAGTAGATCAGGGAAATTACGACACTAGAGATTTGTTGGATAATAGAGTTTAAGGGGTAGTGCAAGAGCAGGGACAGCACTCTTATATGGCATAGATGGTATTTCAATAATGTTCCCAGCTTTGGTTTTAAGGGATTGAATTATGGATATAATGTCTGTCGGGCTGACTGGTGAAAAGAGCAGAGAGTTAGGATTGCTGCCGGTGAGATATGTAGTAACATGTGTCTGGGTCTTTGGGATTTTTCTGGCAACGTTAGCACCAATTGATGAAAAGAAGCTTTTGAATTCAGTTGCATCATCTAAGTCTGTTGCAAGCGTGTAACCATCTTCGGAGAGTTTTATCTGGTTGTTATGTGATTGTTGTTTTGATCCTAGGATATTAGAGACGGATTTCCATATACTTTTCATATTTCCCTTTGCTTCTATAAATCTATTCTCATAAAATGAAGCTTTGGCTCTTCGTATTATATTGATAATCATTGATGATAATCTCTTAATTTTTTTTTTTAACTAGGTCAATCCTATGTTTTTTTCGCGTTTCTTGTTAATTGCTTTAAATATGCCACTTGTGCAACCCGTCCTCTTAAAAAGAACGTCACTTTTGGCTCGTATGCGCACTATGGCCAAATTTGGACGTAATTTGAAATGAAATCCACTCACAAAAGTGACGTTCTGTTCCGTTTTCTATTTGAGTCGTCCGGCGTACGTGCAGAGGTTATAAGAGGACACTTTAAATTAACGTTTTTCATAACGTTTTGAAACTTTATGAGAATTTCCTGCCCACCTAACCTATCAGAGGACCCTTAACTTACTGTTGTTGAAAAAAAAAATCCCAAATTTATTTTCATATTTTTTTCAATTTCAAATTACGTCCAAATTCGGCCATACGGACAAACGGCCAAAAGCGACGTTCTTTTTAAGAGGACAGGGACGGGGTTGTTTAATCTTTTGTCAGTAACTTGCTTGGTGAGGAGAGGACAGTGAGTGTTGTAGAGGCTTAGAGTTGTGGAGAGAAAGATGTCAGCTAATGAATTTATATCCTGTGTATTACTGAGTTCAGATTCCCAGTTTATATTACGAGGTGCACTTAAGAGGTTCCCTGTTGATGGTTTGCTGTGTAGTCTAAAGGTAAGTTTATTGGTAACTGAGGGTGTTATGTACATGTTTGCTGAGAGGAAGGTAAGATAGTGATCTGTTGTTCTGTCAGTGATTGTACCAGAGACAAGGGGGGGTGGGGGCTGTTATATTAGTCCACATGTGGTCCAGAGTTGTAGCAGATGTTTGAGTAATTCGTGTGATCTTGGTGACTGTGGGGATTAGCATAGAGTACTTATTCAAAAGTAAAACCAAAAAGTACCTAATTTCATCGTCATATTTACCCACCTTGTGCTTCAAACTCACAATGTATCTTGTGCTTCACACTCCCCCAATATTAGTATCGTGTGCAAACAGTCTCCTGTGTTTGTACACAAATGTACATTGTTTCTCTCAAAACACCGAGCTCCATGAATAGAGGTTTGTTATAGGCGTGGTAGTTAGGTCATAGACATGTTAGAGGCAGGTTATAGACATGTGAGAGGCAGGTTATAGACATGTTAGAGGCAGGTTATAGACATGTGAGAGGCAGGTTATAGACATGTTAGTGGCAGGTTATAGACATGTGAGAGGCAGGTTATAGACATGTTAGTGGCAGGTTATAGACATGTTAGTGGTAGGTATAGACATGTTAGTGGTAGGTTATAGACATGTTAGTGGCAGGTTATAGACATGTTAGTGGTAGGTATAGACATGTTAGAGGCAGGTTATAGACATGTTAGTGGTAGGTATAGACATGTTAGAGGCAGGTTATAGACAGGTTATAGACATGTTGTAGACATGTTTCAGGGGAAGACAACAATGATCCAGAGGTTCCTGGACAGGGAGGAGGCGGCCCGCCAGACCCTGGCGCTGGAGTACACCTACGGCAGGAAGGCTGGCAAGACCCTGGTGAGTCAATCACTTAATTACCTCTTGAGTAGGTCGATGTCACCTGCTGAATCACTAGAGTTAAGCAAGATTTTCCAGCCCTGAACCTGTTGTTTATCGACAATGAATTCCGTTTTCTCTATCAATGCCTGATTATTTTATCTGATACTTTGCAGCGCAAACTGTAAATAATTTAATGCCTTTGCTTAACAATTTGTATTTATTATATTTCCTAATTGGCCACAATTTTGGAAAGTTTCCTGACTCTGAAGTGAAATTGAATGAGTCTTATCAGTGGCTTATACACTGTTTCTTCACGTTCACGTAATAACCAAGTGTAAATTTGCTCCTGATAGTTTTAGGTTTAATATATTATTTTTTAGGTTCCTGTTGTCATGAAAATGTCATTTACTCACTCTTATGCTATTCCCTTTCCTTTTGTTTTTTATATCTTTTCATTCAATTTTGAATAATGATAACCAATGTCACTATTAAATTCGTCCTGATATGGCCTTTCAGCAGTTTGGGTTAGTCTCTGGCTTACACTGCTACGTCATCTTCATATTGTTTGCTCGGCTGATCTGCTAGTTCAAGTACTTCTAGCTCTCCTGCTCCTTTCCTCTTCTACGTACTCGTACTTTTCAAGTTGTTACATCTTGTACAGCCACTAGTACGCGTAGCGTTTCAGGTCCAATTTGGTCTAGATGTAACTGTTAAGTACACATTTACTTTTGCGTTAAACAGAACAGTTAAGGAATTTAAATCCTGCCGATGTCCTGACATAGCGCTGAAGCTAGTTCTTCTTATTGTATCTGTATCCACTTTTTCAAAGTTTTGTTGTAACTGTTAAGAACGCAGAAATTAATTAAACTGCCGATGTCCTATGTGAAGCAGTTCTTATTTTCATCCACCCAAACTCATTCATATATATGTGTGTGACTTACGCTTGAAACAATCACACGACCCCACGTCTATTGTATTACCTGGTAATTTGTTCCACAAATCAACAGTCCTGTTTTCAATGCAGTATTTACACATATCTTTCCTAAATCTAAACTTATTCAGTTTATATCTGTTGTTTCGTGTTCTATTTTGTGTTGACGTAGTTAACACCTTATTGAGGAACCATAGATTGTTTGACTCTCTTCCGCTCCATTTTGTCTGGATGAACCTCTTGCCTCTGCGCTCCAGAGGTCTGCTCCATCACCTTATTTCCCGGCATCTCTTCAAGCTTAGCGTCCCACTCAGCTGCTTTCATAAGGTTCCTCATTCATAGGGTCCTGTAGCACAGTAGTCTGCGTTCTCAGCTCACAATCTAGGGATCCGGATTCAATCCCCGAGCAGAGTAGAAATGTAGAAACGGTTTGGCACGTTTCCTTTAAATAATGTTTCTATTCACCTAGCAGTAAATAGGTAGCCGGGAGTTTGTGGAGTGTTTTAGGTTCCATTCTGTGTAAATTCAGTAACTGCCCTATAGGGGACGTCGATAAGGCCAAGTACAGGCTTCCTATACCCGATAACAGGAATTATAATCCCTTTTGCATTTCCAATGAATGATCCATGACTAAAACAGTGATCAATGGGTGGCAGAGGTTCCTGGTACTCTATCTCTGGTCTGTTTGTATCCATCATTGCGATTACTTGGTTGTATAATTCTGGTGTGTCACTTCCTCTATATCTTATATTTATATCTATAATTATCTTGTTGGGTTCTTCACATAATAATAATAATAATTTATTAGCGCATGTTGCACGCAAACATTTATGTGAGATGTGTGTATTAACAATTAGGTTCTCCATGTGTCGTCCCTTCCATGAAAGTACTGTGTATAGCGCCTTACCATATATTGTAACAACTATAGATAATGGTGGCTGCTTCCTTGCCCCCATGTACTTCCGGATGTTCTTGAACTTGGTCGTGTTCTTTTGTGCTCTTCTTCACAGTAATTAAAGTTTTCTTTATTCTCTCTCCGCTCTCTCTTTCTCTTTCTCGGTGTCTCCTATACTGTAAAAGTGTAAGTTTTGTCGTGTGTACCCATTATATAGAATGTGGGGAGTACTAGGCTTCACTCAGTAAGTGAAGCCTAGTACTGAGCCTACTATAATAATAATATATAATATAATTTTATTTAGGTAAGGTACATACATAAAGAGATTTTACAAAGTTTGTTGGCTTTATAGATAGAGCTAGTACATACAATGCCTAAAGCCACTATTACGCAAAGCGTTTCGGGCAGGAAAAACATTAAATATACTCGTTTAGTATCAATAATTCAATAGTAACTCCATGAGTTTAGTAACCTCTTGATGATGAGACTCGTTGCTATTGGTCTTCGTTATGCATGTGTGATGTGGTGTTGACAGGTGAAGGACGTTTGTCACTTGTGGGAGCTGGGAGGAGGAGCGCTGTTCACCCCTCTGCTAGCCACGCCGCTCACCGCCCGCGCCATGGCCCGCCTCACCCTCCTGGTCGTCGTCGACCTCTCCCGCCCGGACACCATATGGTCCGACCTGGAAACCCTCCTCTCGTCTCTCAAGGCTAGTCTCTTACCATATACCATTCAATTCATCATGCATTATTTTAGTGTAATGGGGAAAAACACAATGAAGTCAATTTATAAGTTTCAATAATAATATACCATGTCATATTAAGGGACTTTCGGGGCAATGAATTAACCCGACTTCCTAATAGAGCGTCGCATTTTGACGTAAACTCTACCTGAGGCCAATAATTTTCGCATTAGAAAATGGAAGCGGCTCGCGAAATTGACATACAGTCCCATTTTCTGTTTTGGATCCTCTGGTAGGTTAGGATAAGGGCACATAAGTACGACAGTTTCTTGACGTTAGGAAACCTTAGGAGTACAAAACCGATGCAAACTGTGCTACACATCCAGCCACATACATGATTACAACACATATCTGTAAAAAATTTATATGTGCAAAATCTGTATAATTATACTGTAACAATATAAAATATATTTATATTGTTACATTATAGAAATTAGGATGGTGGTGTCCAAGAACCAGAGGAGAGGGAGAGTGAGAGAGAGAGAGAACTAGAGAGAGAGAGAGAGAGAGAGGGGGGGGGGGGGGGAGAGAGAGAGAGAGAGAGAGAGGGGGAGGGGAGAGAGAAAGAAAGAAGAGGAAATTGAAATAAGTTTATTGAGGTAAAATACACACAAAGGGATGAGGTAGCTCAAGCTATTCTCACCCCGTTCAGTACAGCGTGTTAATACATACATAGACACACATCACAAACAATAAACATATTACCGAACATTCTGAGAGATAAACATATACATTTCCTCCTTTACACAAGTAGTATGGTATCAGACGTACACACAAATACTTTTATGACCTAGGTATACTTTATTTATTTATTTATTTATTTATTTATTTATTTATTTATTTATTTATTTATTTAAATACAAGAAGGTACATTGGATTTGTGAGAATACATAGCATAGTACAGTATTTACACTCTTGTAAAGCCTCTAGTACGCGTAGCGTTTCGGGCAGGTCCTTAATCTAACAGATAATTTTAAGTAGGTAAATTGTATCAGAATTAATAAAATGATAACAAATACATTGCAAGAAAAAAAATGAGATGAGAGAGATTAGTAAGTATAATAAAGCACATTGGTATGTTAAAGCTCTGATTGATTACATTGACAGATTGATTGGTAATTTAAACAAGATTAATACACCATACAGCAGATTGACAGCACATATAAGAAGACAGCAATGATCACAATGATAAATATGTTCAGATTGGGAGATTGGGTAGCAATAGATACAGTGCAGTTTTAAAGCAAAAGGTAAAAACTATGAAGATGAAATTAGGTACTTTTTAGTATTGTTTTTGAATGATGCAAAAGTTGGACAGCTTTTCAATTGAATAGGGAGTGAGTTCCATAGACTGGGTCCCTTTATTTGCATAGAGTGTTTACACAGATTAAGTTTGACTCTGGGGATATCAAAGATATATTTATTTCTGGTGTGGTGATAATGGGTCCTATTACATCTGTCCAGGGAGAGTTTCAGAGCAGGGTTTGCATTTAAGAACAGGGTTTTGTAAATATAGTTGACACAAGAGAATTTGTGGAATGAGATTATGTTTAGCATGTTTAGGGAGTTAAACAAGGGGGCTGAGTGTTGTCTGAAAGCAGAATTTGTTATAATTCTGATAGCAGATTTTTGCTGGGTAATGATGGACTTGAGGTGGTTTGCAGTGGTTGAACCCCATGCACAGATACCATAATTAAGATAGGGATAGATTAGTGCATAATATAGAAAGATGAGAGCAGAGTTAGGTACATAATATATGATTTTGGAGAGTATACCAACTGTTTTTTAGAGACTTTCTTAGTTATGTGTTGTACGTGGGTACTGAAGTGAGTCTCTTGTCTAGGAATAGGCCAAGAAACTTTCCATCATTTTTTATTGCTAATGTTTACATTGTCTATCTGAAGCTGAATTGCATTTGTAGATTTGCTTCCAAATAAGATGTAGTAGGTCTTTTTCTATGTTAAGTGTTAGTTTGTTGGTTGACATCATAAGTGGACTTTTTTTAGTTCATTATTAACAACATTATTTAGTGTATGTGGGTTGGGGTTAGAGTAGATGAGGGTAGTATCATCAGCAAACAAAATAGGTTTCAGAATGTTAGAGACATTAGGCAGATCATTGATGTATATAAGAAATAGGAGAGGTCCCAAAATGCTGCCCTGTGGCACTCCAACGGTTATTGGTAGAGTGGGAGAGGTTATATTATTGATGGCTACACATTGGTGTCTATCACTAAGATAGGATTGGATATAGTCCAGTGTATGGCCTCGAATTCCATAATGATGGAGTTTACGTAAGAGGTAATTGTGATTAACAGTATCAAAGGCCTTTCTCAGGTCAATGAAGAGTCCAATCGGGAACTCATTTTTGTGAAGGGCTGAGTAAATTATATCAAGGAGACTAATAATTGCATCGTTGGTACTCTTTTGAGAGCGGAAGCCAAACTGACAGGGGCTAAGAACGTCGAATTTTACGAGATAGGAGTAGAGCTGTTTGTAGATAATTTGTTCAAATATTTTTGATAGTATGGGTAGGTTCGATATTGGTCTATAATTGTTTATATCTGACGGATTACCTCCTTTATGAACTGGTGTTACTCTTGCTTTTTTAAGGATATCAGGGAAGGTATGACACTCAAGGGATTTGTTGAACAGCAGAGCTATAGGTGGCGCAAGGGCATGGGAGGCGCTCTTGTATATAATGGATGGGATTTCACTGATGTTCCCAGCTTTGGTTTTTAGTGAGTGTATGATGGACACAACATCTGTCGGGCTGACTGGTGAAAGGAGAAGAGAGTTTGGATAGCTGCCTGAGAGATATGTGTTGATATGTGTCTGAGTCTGTGGGATTTTACTGGCAAGATTAGCACCAACCGATGAAAAGAAGCTATTAAATTCATTTGCCATTTCTAAATCAGATGACGGTGTAAGGCCACCCTTAAAGAGTGTTATCTGGTTGTGGGAGTGTTGTTTAGTTCCCAGGATATTAGAGATGGCTTTTCCATGTGCTTTTCATGTTGCATTTTGCTTCTTTGAGTCTAGTCTCATAATATGAAAGTTTAGCTTTTCTTATGATACTGGTAAGCAGTGATGAGTACCTCTTAACCACTTCCTTTGTAACTAGGCCAATCCTAAATTTCTTTTCATATTCATGTTTTTTGTTGATTGATTTAATTATGCCACTTGTGAGCCACGGGTTATTTTTTCTTTTATCAGTTACTTGTTTGGTAAGGAGGGGACAGTGAGTGTTGTAGAGGCTTAGAGTTTTGGAGAGAAAGAGGCTAGTTGATGAGTTTATATCCTGTGAATTATTAAATTCAGATTCCCAGTTAATATTGTGAAGTGCATTAGAAAGATTGCCTAAAGCTGATTCACTGTGTAGCCTGAATGAGAGTTTCTTGCTTTCTGGTGGTGTTGTGTCCATGTTTGCTATGAGGAAGGTAGGATAGTGGTCAGTTGTTCTGTCATAGATTACCCCAGATGTAAGGGGAGCTGTTATATTAGTCCATAGGTGATCCAGGGTAGTGGCAGATGTTTGAGTGACTCGGGTGGGCTTGGTGATTGTGGGGATTAGCATACAGGAGTGCATGCTGTTACGGAAATAGTCAACTTGAGGGTTGTTTTGAAGACTCAGGTCAATATTGAAATCACCTCCCAGAATGATGTGATTTTTGTTGAGATTGTTATTTATGATAAGATTCCTTACGTTGTCTGAGAATGAAGCTATGTTGGTATTAGGAAATCTATAGATGGCACCGATAGTCAGGGAGGATTTAAGGGATCTTAAATCCCTTAAAGGGATCCAGAACTTGGCAAAGGTATATTCATAATAGTCGTTTTATCACTGATGACACTATTGCAGATGAAGGTATCTTTGTAATATATTGCTGTGCCACCTCCTTTTTTATTAGGCCTGCAGTTATTTATTTTTATTTTATTTTATTTATTTATATACAAGAAGGTACATTGGGTTTGTGAGAATACATTGGATAGTACAGTATTTACACTCTTGTAAAGCCACTAGTACGCGCAGCGTTTCGGGCAGGTCCTTAATCTAGCAGATAATTTTAAGTAGGTAATTTCTATCAGAATTGATAAATGATAAAGATACATTACAAGAGAAAAATGAAATGAGAGAGATAAGTAGGTATATTAAAGCACATTGTTATATTAAAGCTCTGATTGATTACATTGACAGCTTGATTAGTAATTTAAACAAGATTAATAGACACCATGAGAAATGAGATGAGAGAGTACCCCCAGTACCCTCTGTGTGTGTATTCTTCCAAATAGTGTAACGTACTCAGGTAACTAGTGCCCAGACACAGAAACTAGACGCATCCGCTGTAAGGTAACTAGTGGGAAAATGCAAGTAATGTAACCTAACAAGTGAACAAAACAAATTAAGAGTGCGACATGTGGTAGCAACACTGGCCGTCCATACAGCCTCTTCCAGGCCTATCTCAAGTTGGTAAACACCCACGGTCAACACCCACGGTCAATACCCATGGCCAGCTCCCACGGCCAGCACCCGCGGTCAACTCCCCCACCGGTCAACACCCCACCTTGTAAGACCATCACCACTGAACAGAAGTGTTCAAAAAATGGCTTTGATAAAAACGTGCATAGAATGCAACATGAAGGTAGATTACCAACAGAGCTTTCAATGCTAACTGTTCAGCAGCCATACACAAAAAATGTGCCAACATGACTAACAATTCAAGGAGAAATGGTCCCAGAGACCACTCTGTGTACTGGCTCTGCAAAAAGGATGATGTAACTTTTTTGAAATTGATGGAAATCCTGGATAAAACTCCCGCCGAAAACAGAGAATTACTAATTAATGCCTGCATAGCAATTTCTAATGTCTTCAAACAAACTGTACATGACACCAAGGTACAACCAGCTGTGGCACAGAGCTCGGTGGCAGCGGCGCCTGAGCAGGGCGCGGAGTCGGGGACGCCTGAG